GAGGTGAAGACAGGGTGTTGAGCAGGGAGCGGTCCACAGGGTCAGCTGCTGCTGATGGGGCGAGTGGGATGAGGGCTGCAAATTGACCAGGATCATTGGGCACTTTGACAAGAACAGTTTGATGAAATGGTAGAGGTGAAGGCTCAACTCGAGTAGGTTTATGAAAGAGGAGAGGAATTTGGAACAGTGAGTTTAGACAACTCTTTAGGGAGGTTTTGCCATTAAGAAGTTCAGAGACATGAGGTCGTAGCTGGCAGGGAAACTGGGGTCAAAGGGAGTATTTGCTTGTTAAAATGGAATAAATAACATCAAGTTTGTTTGCCTGTGAGATTTTGGAAAGTTTGTATGTATTATGGGAATAATCCAGCAGAGAGTGAAAATTTGGTGAATTAAGAGAAGAGAGGACTATGTAGTCTTGCAACTGGAGAGGAGATGGAATCTGGTGCAGTAGAGAAGGATTAGCTTTTGCTGGGCACACGCTTAGTTCATCCATTAACAGGCTGGGAGGCAGAGCATGTGTGTGCAGATTCTGGTAGATGGTTGGGTGTGACGGTGGGGTTCTGTGGAAGTTCTCTTTCATTGCTTCAGTGTTTCCATGAGTTCAGTGAAAATTCAGCCTGGTAGTTTGCCTAAACTTGTAACAGACCTAGCATTCTGGTGTCCAATAGCAGGTGTCAAGGACCACCATAAAGAACACAGGCAGCTTTAAAAATGATCCGAATTTATTTTATTTTTTTCTCTGCTAAGTTTTTAAAAGTGATTTTTTAAATTGGAATATAGTTGATGTACAATGTTATATTGGTCTCAAACATCTAACATAGTGACTCAATAACATACATTACTAAGTGCTTGCCATGCTAAGTGTAGTTACCCTACCAAGATAGTACATTACTGGTTATATTCTCTGTGTTGTAGCTCCATTCCCATGACCAATTTATTTTATAGTTTGAAATTTGTACCTCTTCATTCCCTTCACCTATTTCACTCATTCTCCACCCCCCATCCTATGGTATCCAAAAGTCTGTTGTCAGTATTTATGGGTCTATTTCTTTTTTGTTTGTTTGTTTTGTTTTAGATTCCACATATGAGTGAAATCAAATGGTATTTGTCTTTCTCTATCTGGCTTATTTCACTTAGCATGATACCCTCTAGGTTCATCCCCAATGTAGCAAATGGCAAGATTTTCTTCTTTTTATAGCTGAGTAATATTCCATTGTATATATGTGCCACATCTTCTTTATCCATTCATTTGTCAGTGGGCACATAGGTTGCTTCCGTAACGGCTCTTGTAAATGATGTTGCAGTGAACATAGGTGTGTATATATCTTTTCAAATTAGTGATTTTGTTTTCTTTGGTTAAATTCCAAGAAGAGGAATTGGTAGGTCATATGGTACTGCTATTTTTAGTTTTTTGAAGAATCTCCATATTGTTTCCACACAGGCTGGACCAACTTACATTCCCACCAACAGTGTAGGAGGATTCCCTTTTCTCCACATCCTTGCCAACACTTGCTGTATCTTACCTTTTGGACAGTGGCAATTCTGACTGGTGTGATGGGATAGCTCATAGCAGTTTTGATTGGCATTTCCCTGGTGATTAGTAATGTTGATTACCTTTTCATATGTTGTTGGCCATCCGTATATGTTCTTTGGGAAAATGTCCATTCAGATCCTCTGCCCATTTTTAAGTTGGATCATTTGTTTTTTGGTGTTGAGGTGTATGAGTTCTTTGTATTTTGGATATAAGCCCCTTATCAGATATATCACTTGCAAGTATATTCTCCCATAGAGTAGGTTGCCTTTTTGTTTTGTGAATGGTTTCTTCTGCTGTGAGGAAGCTTTTTAGTTTGATGTACTTAGACCCACGTGTTTATTTTTGCTTTGTTTCCCTTGCCCTAGGAGGCATATCCAGGAAAATATTACTCATGCTGATGGTCACAGGATTCTTGCCTATGTTTCCTTTTAGAAGAATTTTATGGTTTCATGTCTTACATTTAGATCTTTAATCCACCTAGTGTACTTTTATACATGGTGTAACACAGTGATCTAGTTTCATTCTCTTGCATGTAGCTGTTCAGCTTTCCCAATATCATTTGTTACAAAGATTCTCTTTCTCCCATTACATATTCTTGCCTTCTTTATCATAGCTTACTTGACCATATATGTATGGGTTTATATCTGGGCTCTCTATATTATGTTCCATTGATCTACGTGTCTGTTCTGGTGCCAGTACCATACTGTTTTGATTACTGTAGCTTTGTAGTATAGCTTGAAATCAGGGAGCATAATACCCCCGGCTTTGTTCTTCTTTCTCAGGATTGCTTTGGCTATTCTGGGTCTTTTGTGGTTCCCTATAAATTTTAGGATTCTTTGTTCTCATTCATTGAAAACTACCGTTGGTATTTTGAAGAGAATTGCATCAAATCTGTAAATTGCTTTGGGCAGGAGGGTCACTTTGACAATATTAATTCTTCCTATCCATGAGCATGGGACAACTTTCCATTTGTTTGTGTTTTCTTCCATTTCTTTCATCAGTGTCTTATAGTTTTCAGAGTATAGGTGCTTTACCTCCTTGGTTAGGTTTATTCCTAGGTATTTTGTTCTTTTTGATGAAATTGTAAGTGGAATTTTCTCTTGACTTTTTTCTAGTTCATTATTAGAATATAGAAGTGCAACAGATTTCTCTATATTGAATTTGTATCCTGAAACTATATAGAATTCATTTATTAGTTCTACTAGTTTTTTGGTGGAGTCTTTAGGGTTTTCTATATATAGTATCCTGTCATCTGCAAATAGTGACAATTTTACTTCTTCATTACCAACTTGGATGCCTTTTATTCCTTTTCCTTGTCTGATTGCCATGGCTATGGCCTCCAGTATTAGATTGAATAAAAGTGAGAGTGGGCATGCTTGTCTTGTTCCAGATTACTTTAGAGGAAAATTTTTCAGCTTTTCACCAATGAGTACAATGTTAGCGGTGGGTTTGTTGTATATGGTTTTTATTATGTTGAGATATGTTCCCTCTATACCTACTTTGTTGAGAGTTTTAATCATGAATGGATGTTGAATTTTGTCAAGTGAATTTTCATCATTTATTGAGGTGATCATATAGTTTTATTCTTCCATTTGTTAATGTGGTATATCACATTGATTGATGCTATTGCACCATCCTTGCATCCCTGGAATAAATCTCACTTGATTGTGATGAGTGATCCTTTTCATGTACTTTTTTAAAAATTCAAATATCATTGACATACAATCATGAAGGTTTCATATGAACAACATTGTGGTTTCAACATTCACCCATATTAATTCTTTTGATGAACTTTTGAATTCAGTGTGCTAATATTTTGTTGAGGATTTTTGCATCTACTTTCATCATGGAAATTCATCTGTAAACTTCTTCTCTTTTTTTTGTAGTGTCTTTGGCTTATTAATAGCATAATATTGACCTTGTAGGATTAATGAGTTTGGAAGTATTCCCTCCTCTTCCATTTTTTGCAGTGCTTCAAGAAAGATAAGTATGAGCTCATCTTTAAATGTTTGGTAGAATTCACCCATAAAGCCATCTGCACTCGAGTTTGTTGGGAGTTGTTTGATTACCTGTTCAGTTTTGCTGGCTGGCTTTCCTACTTCCAAACTGTCTCCAATAGTTCCCTTGCCAAATGGCTGATGTTTAGTTCTGAATCTTGGGTTCTTTTGCTTTTGGTCTAGTTGCACTTTAAACCACAAGGGCTTTTCTTTGCACCTTAGGGCAGGGAGCTCAATGCCTGGCTCTCTCAGCAATATCCTTCCCCCTCTGCTGGCGGCTGTGTTGGGGGTGGGGTTCCCGAGGTCACTGTGTCTCTGTTTCCTCTGCCCTTTTTTTAAAGTGTGATCTTTTTTCTGTCCCTTGTTATATAGTTGTTCACTTCTGTCTACATTTTTCTTCAAGGTGAAATGCTTTGTGTGTAGGTGTAGGTTCAGTGTGTAGGTGGGAGAAGTTGGATTCAGGCTCTCTACTCCTCTATCTTCCCCAAATCCTCTCTCTGGTCAGTTAATTTTAATTAATAGGTACTTTAAGAAGTACCTCTGATTAAGAATACAGTTAACTGTTGAAGCAAGGAACCAGCCAGTAGAGGGAGAGCTAAGTATATGTGACATGAATATAAGTATAAGGCGCGATTTTGCTCAGCACGATTTTGCTCAGAGAAATAAGAAGACTCAACACTAATGATGGAATTCACATTGATTTTTTTATTATGAACTTTATTTCAATATTTCTATGGTTTTCTTATGGTTGAGGCATACCATCTTGCCAAAAGTTCAAAGCAGTTTTTAAGATCATGGTCCAAATAGTTATCTTCAATTATTTTTGATCTATTTGCCTTCTGAATCCCCACTTTGGGATAAAAACATACCTGCAGTTACTGAGGGTTATCCTAGTAATGACTAAGTCTGCCTTTCAAGTTCAAACACTACCTGAAGGTGAAGGTTACAAAAATAGCTTTTTCCATATACTTTATGTGATTGTTTGTGTTGCCAGACACAGCAAAGGGGAGCAGGTTCTGCTTTCTTCTTTCCTGGGCAGCGTTTTTTAAATATTTGTTTTTCTTTCTTTTTAAAAAAATACAGATATAAAAGTTAAGTTCCAGAGAAAGTTATTTAAAACTGTATGACATATATTCGTACAAATAATCCAGTGTTTTTTGGCTTTTGGTGAATTTCAAGACTTTGTATCAAGAACCAGTTTATATTCACCATCTTACATCACCCCCGTCTCCCAGTTAGCTTGCATTTGGAAGGTGTGGGAACTGGGACTTTGTCTCTTGGGACTGGGCATTTTTCCTATCGTCTCAAGTAAGTCAGGTCATTTGAACAACTTTCACCCTCCAAGTATCCTGCAAGGTTGAGGCTGAAATCTATTTAGAAAGAAAAAATGACTAATATCTGCCTGCCTGTAGGAATAGGGCAGAGAAGGATGTAAGATTCTCAATTCACATACAAATTAAGTTTAAATGGGAGCAGAAAACAGCATGAATCAATTTCTGAGGGAGGAGACTGTCATAAATAGCCCTCTGATGGCAAATTGGTTTCACTTCTGCTTGTGTAAATAGTTCTTCGCGACTGTGGCCACAAGTGACTGTATACCTCAGCTGGTTCCACATATCTATACCAAAGCAGAGAAACTGCCACCATCTCTTTTGTGGGGTCCCAGAGCCAAAGCAGAAAAAGTGACATCTGGTAAGTAAATTGTTTCTCTTATGTAATTTATGCTGTAGCTTATTGTTGATTTTTAAAAAATATAATTTGGATTTACAGAAAAATTGAGAATATAGTGCATGGGTCCCCATGTAACTGACACCTAATTTACTCTCTTACCTAGTATGGTACATTTATTAAAATTAAAGAATCAGTGTGTATAATATGATTAACTCAAGCCTATACTGTATTCAGGTGTGCTTACTTTTTATGTAATGTCCTTTCTGTATTATAGGACCCCGTCCAGGAGACCACATTCCATGTAGTTGTCATATCTTCCTAGGCCCCTCTTGGCTGTGGCAGATTCTCAGACTTTCCTTGTTTTCGATGACCTTGACAGTTTTGGGAAGTACTGGCCAGACATTCTGTAGGATCAGCCTCTCTTGAGGCTTGTCTCTTTTTCCCGTGAGTAGATGGAGCTGTGGGGGAGGGGAGGAAGACCACAGAGGTCAAGCGCCCTTCTCATCGCATCACTACCTGCAGGGCACTTGAGCGTTGCTGTTGACCTTGGTCACTGGCTGAGGCAGTGCCTGTCAGGGGGCCTCTACTGCAAAGTCATTCTTTTCCTCCTCTTCTACATTCTGTCCTCTTTGGAAGGAGGTTTCTCTGCAAAGCCCACACCTAAGAAGTGGGGGTTTGTGCTCCTTTTCCTTGAGGTGAAGGAGCTACATAAATTATTTGGATTTATTTTTTATACAAGAAAGTTGTTTCTTCTCCCTTTCTTGATTGTCTTCAAGTAAATTAATTACTGAAAGAAAGTGAGTTTTACTTTTTTGTTTATGTAAATTTTAAGGCTATCTAAAGGCCAATGAACTAGAATCTGGAGAATCAGGTTTTAGTTTGAATTTTAGTTAACGATGTAATCTTAGGCGAGACACCAGTCATGCCTCCCCAGAGAAATCAGCCGTTGCAGGGTTGCAGGCGTCACTGGGGGCAGTAGCAGCGTCATCTTATGCGTGGTTAACTTCCGCACGCTTCGGGGAGCAGCTTGGGGGGATTCAAATTCATTTTCTTAGAACCTGGTAAAGTACGTTATGAAAAGATCTACTCGTTTTACTTACCTGTTCACCTGGGGGAGGAGGGTGGCAGAAGGCATGTCATCCCGGTCACCTCTTTCCTGAGTCTGCCTCTGGTGGCTGCACTTCTCATGCTGCACACGCCAGCATAGGTGTTAATGCTTAGACTGTAACTCTTTTCTTTGGAGGTTTGAAAGAACCTTGTTCACTTTTGCTCCTGAGCTAATGTGTTCAAATTACTTCTTTGGCCCCTACCTAGTCAGGAAGTTCAATGTCCAATAAGGCGGCTAGGAAACGGTGCCAACACCAAAGGCACTTAAAACTTTAAAAGAAAGGAAATAAATCCTAAATGTCATCAACATCCCATCACTTTTTTAAGAATCATCCCTACTCCTTATTTTATACTTCAGCCCAGCTCCTTGAGCAGGGCACGAGGCCTTAGCACAGACTCTCGAAGGAAGCTGGGGCAGAACCCTCAAGGTGATTGACCAGTGGGGACTACAGTGGGAACCAGTTTATCAGCGGAGGTGGCATATGGACCTCCAGTGAAACAGACTTGGCCCAGGTGAACATCAGTACTGATTTCTGGTTTAACTGGCTTCACCAAATATTCTAAAAATAAGCAACATTTGTACAGATACGTAAGTCCCTGTAGACCAACTTTGTGCATAGTATCACATTTAATCCTCACAGTGGCTCCTAATATAGGGATTTCTACATTCTCAGTTTATATGTGGATAAACTGGGGGCTCAGAGAGGTTAGGAGGTTTGTTCAGTGCCACCTAAAGTGCTGGAGCAGGGTCCAAAAATCTGGGCATTCTGACTCAAAATCTGGAGTCATTTCCACTACACCATTCACAGTCTAGACCATTGGCTCTGTGTTTGCCCATTTTGTTCTCTGATGTGTCCCCAGCACCTAGAACAGTGCCTGGCACATACTTAACTCAACAAACATTTGTTGAGTGAATGAATGAATATAATTCCTGCCATTATTAATCTTACTATGTAAGACACACTTTAAAAATACACTCTATTCATTCAACAAATATTTATTCAGTGTTTACTACATACCATGCACTTACCACATTTATTATTAAAAGTAGAGCATAAAGGAAACCAAAATCATCAAAATCATTAAAGGAACTAATTTACTAATGTACTAATTTAAGCATGTTGATTTTTTCCTGTTAGTGATGCCTTGGCATGGGGATAGGGAGCAGAAACGAAAGGAAAACAAGGATGATGTTAGGAAGGGTTAATTATGTGAGACGAGGTAAGGTGAGGTGGGATTCTGGCTAAGGAGAAGAGCTAGGGGAAGAGAACAGGATACGTCACTTATTAGCAAACACTTTCAATTCTGCATAAGATACAGGATGAATGCAGTGAAAGTGTCCCACTCAGTGCCGCTCTCTGTTTCAGACATACGTGTGCACACACACACATGCGCATGTAAGGCACATCTACCTCATACACATGCTACTTTGTTTGAGCCCCTTAGTATAGTTTTATCAAGTTGATACTCTCCCTCCTACTCAACAGCCTTCATTTCCAAAACTGTCATGCATTTGAGGGAGCCCCTCATTTGTGGGCACTGTTCCCTCCATTCTCCTACTCCTAAGCTCCAGATGTTTTATTTCACTAGTGTTTTTACTGGCTGCTTGGTGGAATGAAGAGACCTCTGAGCGTGCAGTGATGGTGTGACCTTGGGCATGGGCCTGCCTTCCCCTTCTCTGGGCTTTAGTGTCTGTATCTGTAACAGAAGGGGCTCAAGAGCATTTTCTATTTAATTACACTACAGAAAGCTGTTCTGGGATAGGCATGACTATTACATTTGTGTCACCTCTCTTATGGGTCTCTAAGGAAAAAAAAATAGGCAAACGCAAACAGAAGGAAGGGAGAACAGGAGAAGCAAGAATAACTCTCAAAAGTCACAATTAGTTAACAGGAAGTGGGTGCTGTGCAACCTCCCCATATCTAGCTAAATGTGCAGAGCATCTCACTTAAAAATTGCTCTCCTTGGGCTCAGTGCACATGAATGTAAATAAGTACTAAAAGCAAAACTTAGGTGCTAACCACAGAGTTGAAGCACAGGTGAAATAAATGACGTGTGAAAACCTTGCCTGTATGAGCAGTAAATTTGGACTGTTTCAGTTGCTTTTCTCCACGGGAACCAGACTTTTCACAAAACACACCACCATCGCTGTCTGTCTCTGAGGGACGTGAATGCCAACATACTGTGAGGAAGGACTATGCACCATGGGACATTTGCTCCGTGAAGCCAAATGAGCCTGAAATGGCAGTAATCCCAGTGGTGCTGCTTGCACAGGAGCCCTAGTCATTAGTGCAGGCTTGGTTTCAATGACAGATGACATTTCAGAATAAGGACTTTAATCCTTTTGGCACCCAACTAAATCAGAGAACATTAGCATCTTAAAAACTAGTTCAGTCTTTCAGTCGTACGTGGGGAAGCTAAGGTCCCCAGAGATAAAATGGCTTGTCTGTAGTCCTGCCATTCCTTTGATTGGGGGCAAAGTCAGAGCTGGAAACTTCCACACCTGCTTTCCAGCTTAATGCCCTTCCCACCACTTTTGTTTACTTTAACTCAGTGACTGTATACTGAGTGTCAATACTATTTTACTCCTCTATGAACTGAGATACTTGTTTACAGATTTTCTCTTTTAAGCGCTTGGCATTTCTTTCCTTCTACCTTCTCGGCTTTTTTGTAAATGATCCCTTACCATTTTCCAGTGTCTTCATTTGCCAACGAAATGATCCTGTGCTGCCAGGCTTTGCCCATTGGCAAAAGGAATTTGGAGCCCAATTCACCAGCACCACAGCTCCAGTAATTTCCAGTTTCTCCATATTTCAATTAGGAATCACAAAGGGCTCAGGTGCTGGTAGTGGTGTCTCCACAGCATCTAGCTAAGCCCAGTCAACCTCAGATAGTTACATGCTGACGACTCTCCTTGGCCACCGTGTAGTGTTGATTTAATAAATGAAGCCAGATGAACTGAAGTTGCGGTGACCCTGAAGGAAGCCAAAACCACTACCCACATTCCAGAATTTGGTGAGCACATCTGCTTCTACTCTAAATCCACTTCCTTCTCGGCTAAGGGCCTTCTTCTCAGCGTTCACATGGTGATACCACTTACCAACCTGTTTGTCCTTTGGGGCTTCCTCCGACTCCTTTATTTCTTCCTGGAATTTGTCTGCCAGAATGCAAGGCCTGGAGGTCTGCAGTGGATTTTTCTAGTGGGAGGTGCACACATTTTACTTTGTTCCCAGTGTTCACGGGTTATGATGCCTAACATAACGTGTGACTATGGTTCATTGGACTGCTGTCTTCAGGAAACAACTGTTCTCTTTCTCTTTCTTTCCTAGTGTTGTTCCTAGTTCTGTATCTGAAGGTGTTGCTAGGCATTGCCATCTACCTGTAATGCTGTAGCTCATCTACCCTTTTAACTCACCTTGGTTTTGATGTGGTGTAGCATTTCCAACTCAGCATTTCAGACATGCAGCTCTCCCGCTACCAGCTTTACTGGTGAACATGTCAAGTACGAACATGCAATCTTGGAATTTGAAGAAGCTTCAAACTCACCTAGTCCAATGCCATTCTTAGGTGGTCAGACCATTATAGGTTCAGACACTGCTAGTAGGGGAAAATTCATTACTTTCTAAGGTAGCTCATCCCATTTTGGACAACTCTGACTGCCAGCGAATGCTCAGCCAAAATGTGCTTTCTTGTACCTTCCACCTAGGTGTCCCAGTGGTCCCCTCTTGAGACCATAGAAAACACGCATCGCCCTCCTTTATATGCAGCTCCGAGGTCCTGTGCCCATCTTCTGCCTTTGTCTGTGCCCCGCCCTCAGGTCAACCATTCCCCGTTCCTAGGGAGCAGCCCCACTGCTAATGCTCCTCATCTGCATGCTTGTCTATTCGGTCCTACTCTTTGCTTTAGTCTTTCAGCCGGGACTCCAATCATATCAAAAACAAATTTGGTTTTTAAACATCCTTTGGTGTAGAATCTCATCAGAAGCTTCCGATCCATTATTTCATTCATTCATTAGGCATTTATTGACAGTCACTGCACTTGCTGATAGAAATGCAACATTGAAAGAATGAGCCATCACCGGGACTAGCTCATCGTTCAGGAAGGAGGAAGGGGCATAGTAAACACGATGATAGAAGTGTGCTTGAGCCGCGGTGACACGGCAGGGGAGCAATTGGGAATCAGGACACAGTTTTACAGAGGAAACACTAAAACAAGTTCTCAAAGAGTAGGACTTCACCAGGAAGAAGAGGGGAAGGGTACCCCACACAGAGGGAACAGCCCTGTCTTAAAATGCATGAAAGTTCAATGGGATACCCTCCCTTGGAGAACTGTAAGGAGGTTGGGGTGGTCTTAGAGGGAGCTGTAGATAAGGAATGGTGAGATCAGGAACTCTACCTAAGGCGCAGGTTCTTGCACATAGTAGGGGTTCACATCACACCCAACTAACACCCACCAAGTCCAGAAACCATTTAGTCAGTTAATATCCACACCAGTCAAAGTAGGAGTAAGGAGCTGTTTCAAATGATGAGTTGTGATTTTCATTTGGGGTTAATATGTATATAAAGCACAGTCTCCCTAACTAACGGCCTATGGGTCTACTGGGGGTTAACAGATCAGGTGGGATTTTGCATATTTCAGAAGGGCTGGTACACAGCTGAGTAATGCAAGCGGCAACATCAGATACAGAGCGTAAGCACTTCTGGGCTTGTACTTGTGTTGCTTAAATTCTCTAAGGATGCTGACAAAGAAGCTGGACAAACAGCCATACCCAGTCTGTGCAGGGCCTGCCCTTCCGAGCCTGTCTGGGTCCAGCTCCCTGTCTGCTGGTGGCCTGGAATGCTTGGACCTGATGCTTCTCCTTTAGGGGGAGCCTCTCCTCCCCCTCCTGCAGAGGGCCCAAGCTGTGGTGCAGCACAGAGCCCCAGCAGGGGCTTCTTCATGGTTAAAATGGGGGTGGGGTGGTGAGGGAGACCCAGAGAACCTGCTTATTGCATCTTTCTCTCTCTCCCTACTCACTGGCTCTCAAAGCAACTCCAGGGAACCCCAGGAATAGCAAATGTTCCATCCATCTCTCAGATTCTTGCTGAGACCTGCTGGGACTAAATATCACTGGCACAAGGATTCAAGGCTTGCCTGATGTAGGCACTGATATCACTCAAACCAGCAAAGTTATATGACTTCACCTTCATGGTTCTAGACACTACAGGTTTATTTTTATTTCAGAGTGAGTTGCCTTAAAGCTCTCAGGTAATATCAGGTGAACTTCAGCAGTTTATAGATATCAGGTTAAATACCAGTAGTTTACAGATACAAACTACTATTGAAAACCAATGGTCAGACATTGATTTTTGTGATATTTAAACCAACATGTGGTGTACTGGGTGTTGTGAGGGATTCAAAGGTAAGTTACAATGGTCATTGCCCTTGAGCACTTGGAATCTAGTTGGGGAAACAGAGCAGATGCAGGTTTACACATTATTTTTGTTGGTTCGTGTTGCTCGGGGAGGAGGAGCTTCTGGGCAAGTTCACTATGAATTTGGTGAGAGGGAATAAAGACAACAGAAAGGTGGGGGCTAAAGAGGGCTCATACCATGTTTATTCTTGCTGCAGTCACCTGGCTACGTCCAGTCACCAGCCTCCGGGCTGGCTCCAGCCGCACACAGCCTGGGTGCGGCCTCCTACCCCCTAGCACCAGGCTCTGCGGGGGGCCCCTGCTGCACCTCCACTCGCTCCTGCATGTCACAGGGCTCCAAGGCTTCTCCCTCCTGCCGCCTCTCCCCACCTCTCTTTCCCCTCTCTCTGCTCTCTACTTTCTGCCCCTGGCACAGGGAGGAACTCTGTGGGTGGGTTTCTGTTGTGACTGGTGGACACCCCACCAATTAAGTCCAGGTGCTAGTGTGTTTCCTCAACACCGCTGCCCAGGACTCGTACTTTGTGACTGAGGGCTGGGGAGGCACTGTAGGTGGGTAAACATCCTGCCGCCCACGGGTATGCTAAATATGTATACAATGGGCTATATTAGAACCAGGGGAGGTAAGAATCCTTGCCAAGAAATTTCCATTTTCTCTACAGTTTGCTTTTTTTTGTATTTAGGATTTCTACTTACCCACCTCCCACCCCTGCCCTTACACTTTGTATTTTTCAGGCTGGTTTTCCTAAGTGGACAAAAGCAGACATTTACGTAATAGGAAATGGCAGAAACGGAGGATTTTGTGGCTCAGGGACCACATCCAGGTAATGTCCCTCCAACACCCGCTGATGAGGTAAATAGGAGCAGTTCACCCTTACAGTAATAATCAAGGGCAAATGGCTGAGCCTGTATTCAGCTGTAGTCACTGTACCTTGCTCTTTACTCAGAAGCTGCTTCTCGGGACATGTTTTAATAGTGAATGAATATAAATTACGTCAACAATAACTAAAACAGCCTATTCATAAGATAGATGACCTGACCAGCAATTCCGTTTGTACCGCTGCTCCCCTGCCCTTTAAAAGGAGGTCTCAGAAAACTGTCTGGGATTTTCTGAGGGTAGCCTCTCCCAGGATGGGCAGGACGAGGCCCCTGGAATCGTTTCATGTGCTTCCCTTAGAAGGGGACATGTTGAGTGAGTCACAGGAGTCAGTGAGGGAGGCTGCCATCCCGGAGGGCTGGGTGTAGGGCCCCTGGAAGCAAGGAGGAAGCCTCCCCCAGGAAGACGTAGGGAAGCAACCCCTCTGTGCAGAAGACAGGGTATCACGTCCTTTGTGTTTGAGAATTGAAGAGGGAAGCTTTCCTCACCCACAGGGGATGAATTCCCGTAGGGGCCAGAGAGTGTTTCTGGACCAGTGGGACGAGGCATGGCTGGGCATGTAAACGCAAAGAACTGCAACTTTGGGGCACCCCTGGTTGTGCTTAGCCCTGAAAGGGGGACTTGTTTCCTCCTGGAAGATCCACGGCAGTCTCTGGCAACAGGCCGGAGCACCAGAGAACCGGTATCATGGGTCAGGCTGTCTGGGGTCGGCTTTCAAAAGTAACCCCTTGTGGTAGCAAGAAGTGACAGCAGCAGACCGTTTGTGTCTGTGGACCTTTCCCACCCACGCCTACTGCTCTTTCCTGGGTCATTCAGAGTAAAAGGCTGGAAAAGGCAAAGGAATAAGAGATGTGGCGAATTCGGCCAGTTTATTCCAGTTATAATTTATATAAAAATACTCCCCTTAGATAGTATAAATCCAAGATAGGATACTTTCTCCTTTCCAGGTGGTTTTTCATTTTAGAAATGGAAAAGTTTAAAATCCTGCTGCTTTATCTGACTTGTTAACCTTTGCATTAGTTGAGAAACAATCTTTTATAAGATTAATTGCCAGTGACTATAAAGAGATAAAGGCCGTGAATATATAGACCTGTGCCTTGCTTTATACACCTGGCTAAGATAGTAGGAAGCATCATTTACACAAAAGCCTCGCTGAGAGATATGGAAGCAACCTAAATGTCCATCAGTAGATGAATGGATAAAGAGGATGTGGTACATATACCCAATGGAATATTATTCAGCCATAACAAAGAAACAAATCCTACCATTTACAACAACTTGGACATTATGCTCAGTGAAATAACCTAGGCAGAGAAAGACAAATAGCAAATGATTTCCCTCATTTGTGGAGTATAACAATGAAGCAAAACTGAAGGAACAAAATGACAGCAGACTCAGAGACTCGCAAGAATGAACTAGTGGTTACCAAAGGGGAGGGGTGTGGGGGGGCGGGTGGGGAGGGAGGGAGAAGGGGACTGAGGGGTATTATGTTTAGTACACATGGTGTGGGGGGATCATGGGGAGAACAGTGTAGCCCAGAGAAGGCACATAGTGGATCTGTAGCATCTTGCTGCACTGATGGACAGAGACTGCATTGGGGAATGGGTGGGGACTTGATAATATGGGTAAGTGTAGTAACCACATTGTTTTTCATGTGAAACCTTCATAAGAGTGCATATCAATCATACCTTAATAAAAAAATAAACAAAGAAAAAAGCCTTGCTGAGTTACAAAATCAAGATCTAAGGCCCAACTTCCTTTCACTTTCTTTCCACAGACAGGTTGTAGAAACATCCTGAAATCATGAGACGCCTTTGTAACACAGATGGAAGTGTTCTTCTGCCAGTAGCTGCTGTAGGGTCCCGAATGGCGGATTCTTTGTTTCTCTGTCCCTTCTCCTCCAGCTCCAACCACTGAGCTGTCAGCCACTTGGTGTCCAGTTCGAATGCAGTCCTTAAATTGGGGCAGGATGAATTCTGCTGGTTGAGCTCAGTCATAGAGTTCGAGCGACTGATGGGAGGGTCTGAAGTACTGGCGCTTTCCACCGCCTGTCCTGCATAAGCGTGAGGCGGCAGGGCTGCAGGCTTTAGCAGCTGGCATGCCTGTGCACTGCAGCACCTGGGTTCCAGAACACGGCAGGATTTGTGCCAGGAGACACAGGCTGAGCAGACAGGGAGGCTGCTGGAGCCATCTGGCAGACCTGTGTTGGCAGCCAGGTGGTTGGGGGCTGGCCCTTTTGCCCAGGCCACCATCCTGGGTGCCCAGGTGAAACTCCTCTGTGGTTCTTCAGGCAGCATGACCTCCCGGGGTCATGCCCAGTTTGGGGCCTTATATGAGTTTAGAGCATTTTGAGTGTCGGGGTGAGCTCTTCTTCCAGTTCACCTCACAGCCACTGGCTGAGGCACAAGCTAGCCCAGGAGCACTGGCTTCAGGCCCTTTCCAACAACCTCAACTCCAAAGACCCACCTGGTTGCCCCTTTCTGACCAGGTGAATATCACCAGGGGCTGTTTTCTAAAACCAACCCAAACACAACATTTCGGTTATACCTTTTCTGAGGATTATGGGCCCCATCAGCCTTTCACCTCATAACCA